ACCAATGCATTAAAGGGGTGATTGGCTTGATTTATGGGATTGAATAAATTTGGGATCTGCAGGATATTGGCTTCCCATCGATGTTTGGAACTTACCCATCGATGGTAAGCCAATTTTCCTTCAGTTTTGAAGCCAACGGTCACCTACCCATCGATGGGTAAATTCTTCCCATCGCTGGGTGAGAGGTTGACTTTCAAACAAGGAAAGAATCAGCCTTAAATGACTCACAACGGTCATGCCTAACCAGCGATGGGTATGCCCTCCCATCGCTGGGTTCCCATCGATGGGTAAAGGTTCCCATCGCTGGGAAGGGGCATTCTGCCTTGTGATAATGTTGGACCAAGGCTTGAACAGCGATGGGTAGAACTTCCCATCGCTGTTTGGCATGGTTCTGGAAGTTGGTTTGGCTTAGGGACCGCTTACCCATCGATGGGAAGATCTTCCCATCGCTGGGTGGGTGGTTAGCAAAAAACCCATGGTCTTTGCCTTAACCACCGCCTAGCCAACCGATGCAAAAAACCGACCGAAAAATCCAAAGTTCTCCAAAATAAAAACCAAGTGTTGAAAACACTGATGTGATGTATTTGGCTAAGAAATCAAGTGAGTTACTTTAAAAACCACGTCATTTGAGTGAAAACCACGGCTAGCCAAGTTTACGCCATTTTGCGTGGTTTTTGTCAAACGACCAAAAACGAAAGATGGTTTTCAAAGTGTTTTTGTTGGAGAACCGTTTAAACATGCCAAAGAGTGAAAACCAATAATAAAAAGTTCAAAACCACTTGGTTGGTTTGGACGTCAAAAACCAATGCCGATAACCAAAAGCCGAACGCCAATTTCTGAAACCCAAACGCTGGATGGCTTGGTTTTTGGTTTGGGCAAACACCAAGTGTTTTTAATTACTTAAACATGTTTGAAAAACATTTTTATGATGTGATAAAATATTTTAGCCTAAAGAGCCAATGCGTGAGGGTTGGGTCGGTCTTGATTACAATTATGACCGACTCAACAATACTAAAGACTGTGGTCTTCGTTCTTGGTCTCTTTTAGCTCTTGTTCTTTATCTTCGTTCTTCGCCTTGTATATTCAATGTTTGTCTTGATCACGGCGGTTTGGCATTATCAAAACCTGTTACAAAAACGAACACGGCTTTAGTACGAAAACGTGACAAGCCCGTGTTTCAACAGTATGTTTGCATGAAACGTTAATATTCATTATGTATGCTATTTAATTGATATATTATTGGCGTTGACCAAAGGTAAATACATCAAGCATTCATCATGTTCATTCAAGACGCATGTCCTAGGTTTATCATCATGTGCATACTGTTGTAGGGAGGTCAGGCTTTCGTGTGCCTACTACAGTGGGCCCGTCTAGGAACCTTTGGGATCCAACAGGTTTTCATTATGTGGGCTTTTTGTACGTACATGGTAGTCAGGTTACGGCTACTACCCAGTTTGTCTAGTTCACTTGCGACATTTTCGTCGAGCCCGGCTCATTACCGGAGTGCAAGGGTGATCCTGCCAAGTGAGACTTCAGGGGTGTCCCTGATAGTTTAAGTCATGCATCAAGTCATAACGTCATCATGTATGTTCCATGTCATGTCAACATTCAATGTGGTTGTCATCATCATGTATGTTCCACATCACATCAACATTCAATGTGGTTGTTATTCGTTTTGTTATATGTAAAAAAATATCCCATCAAGTGCAATTTAAAGTTAGTAAACATGTGGTTTTCCGTACGTGGAGTACAGGTATTAATATGTGTATAACCATATGGGTTATCACTTTATGTTCTTTTGTTAGATTCACTCCTCAGCTTTTGCTGAGCGTGTAGTTGTTTTTGCTACACGCAGGTAGACATGACGGTACAGGTGCTGGAGGACAGTGATGATGGGAAGATGGGCGGCACACGGACGAGTTTAATAATTATAATCATTTGAATTAATTAATCAATTGGGCATGAACCCATCATATGTCGTTTTACCTATTTTGGACTTATTTATTTACTTCCGCTTTACTCTATATTTATAACTCACACGTTTTGGGGATAACTCCCTAGTATTTATTCCACCTATTAAACACAACTGTTTTCATAATAAATATTCATTAATGATTTTACGTTACGGACGGTTCTCGGACCGCCCATGTAACCCTACCGGTCTGTTGGGTCGCGGGTGAACCGGGTCCGCGGAAGGCGGGTGTTACATTAGTATTTTGAAAGAGATTAATCTATATCATTAAAAGTATATCCAAAACTCTAACATTAATCGAAAACATTGTTTTTAAAGAGCTAAGACTTTGTCACCGGTGCCCCTGTGGTTTGGAAAATCGGCACCAATACCCCCTCTATTTTCAAAACTTACTTCTAAAGTTCTTGTGGTTTCAAAACGTTGCACCCACACCCCCCTCTGATCATTTTCCGGCCATTCTTCGGCGAAGAGGGGGTATTTGCGCATAATTTTTAAACCATAGGGGGCGTTCGTGCTCATTTTTTATTTTTCGTTTATTAATTGTGTTTTCCTTTTTTAAAATATTTTCTCTCTCTTTTTTCATTTTCCTAGATATTTTTCTAATTTATTTTCAATTTTTTATAATGTTTTAAAATTTTTAAAATTTTTTATGTTTGAAATAAAAATAAAAATAAAAAAATTAACATACATTACATCTATTTGAAATTAAACATTTTCACTCTTTGTTACGTACTTATTTGGAAAGTTCAAAAAGAAAAACCTAGAATAAAAAAATAAAAATATGGAAAAATAAAATGAAAAATAAAAATAGACAAAAAAAGTTTAATACAAAAAAAATGGACAATCCTAAAAAAGTCCTTTGAATTGAGATGCTCGAAAAAGATATTCATTTTTATTTTTGTATTATTTTGTTTCTTATTTTATTCCTCATTTTTTTGAAATTCTCAAAAAAAAAAGTTTACTTTTTTCAGATGGCGGTTAGATGCAGATGTTGGACATCGTGTTGGAGTGACTTGGGCCAAATGGCGGTTAGCTTCAGGGGTGTTGTGTGATCCGAAAATTTCGCCTAGAATGAAAGGTAAGTTCTATCGATCCGTTGTCAGACCTGCTATGTTATATGGGGCAGAGTGTTGGGCAGTTAAGAAGAATCATGTGCGTCGTCTGCATGCGGCGGAGATGCGGATGTTACGATGGATGTGTGGGAAGACAAGGTTGGATAGGATTTCGAACGAAGTTATCCGACGTCAGGTAGGCATGGCACCGGTGGAAGATAAGTTGCGGGAAGCGAGGTTGAGATGGTTTGGTCATGTGAGACGGCGGGATGCTGACGCCCCTATACGGAGATGCGAGAGGATTACAGTTATCGGGGGAAGTAGGGGAAGGGGTAGACCTAGGAAGAATTGGAAGGAGGTGATTAGGCAGGATTTAGGACTTCTCGACCTGACTGAAGATATGGCCCTAGATAGGAATCTTTGGAAAACTAGGATTGGAGTAGCTGGATAGGAGCTCGGTGTTGTAGAGGTTGTTTTGTAGTGTGTTGTATTTGTTTGGAATCTTATGCTATTGCTTGTACTTGTTGCTTGTACTTGGTGCTTTATCTGTGTTATACTGTGTTCCCTTCCATATTTTTGTGTAGGTGGAGCCGGGGGTCTCTTGGAAACAGCCTCCCTACTTCCGAGTAGGGGCAAGGTCTACGTACACACACCCTCCCCAGACTCTACTGTTGTGGGATTCACCTGGGTTGTTGTTGTTGTTTTCAGAAAAAACAAAAATTGTTGATTTAAGGGGTACATATACATTATGGGAGAAGGACAAAACTAGGAATAAAAGTTTTCTTATATTCTCAAATAGGAGTTAAAACTTAAACTCCTCTAAATAGGAGTAGTTAATTAATTTTTGTCCTCAATTCTCTCTTCTCACGCTCTCTTAGCTTCTCCCTTTGTTTTTTTTTCTTTTCTTGCATGCGTGTACACACTTAAGGAGTTAAGGGGGGGTTGGGCCTTGGCATTGAGTTATGGGTAGGAATTAGAATAGATTAGAAAATTGATTATTTATTATTATTATATTATAAAATCTTTATATTTATTTATTAAATTATAACATCTATTTTGCTCATAACTTTTTACACCAAAGTCTAAACTTAACAAACTTTATGCTATTAGTCACCTTTTTATGAGATCAACCCTGTTGACCCTTGTGTTTTGATAATGACAACTATATCATGGGCTTGGCACTTTGGATGGTGATCTTCACTATCATGCGTTGGATCTCAAGACAAGTGTGAAGATATAGTGTTTTTGGTTTTCGTTTTGATCTTAGCATTTTTGTTAAAGTGTATGGCATGTTAGTTGTTCTTCCCTCCTTGAAAATGTTTTCCAAAAACCCTTCAAATTGTTTTTGAGTCAATTGCAAAATAACATTTTCAAAACTGTGAGAACTGTTCGAATAACTCTTGTTTTACTCGAATAAGTCTGAGTTTTCAGTTCTGTCTTGTTCGAATAAATAGCAGTTTATTCGAATAAGTCCTGAAGCTCATTTCTTCAAATCCTACAGTGATTTAGTCGAATAAACCTTAATTTATTTGAATAAGTCTGCGTTTTTCGCTCTGACCTATTCGGATAAATATGATTTTATTCGAATAAGTCGTCAGTTTGAACTGCAGTTTTGTCAGTTTTGAAGGAAGTTATCCATCCATATCTTCAATAACTCACCTACAATGGCTCTTTTGCTTGAAGAACATTATATATATCCATTCAAACATATTCTTTTATCAATCTAAGCAATTCAATTCATACTTTTGATCCTTCAACATTACTTCCAAGCAATTCTTCAAGAAATCAATATTTGCTTGAGTTTTGAAGAGTACTAGTGTGCCATACTCTATAAGTTCTTGTATTCTACAGCAATCCACTCTTAATTTGAAGAGTATTTCCGCTGTGCACTTTGTTTTGGAACGTTGTGTGAATTGTAAAAACTTGAAGTTGATATAATTCAAGTTTTGGAGAGAAATCCTGAGTCTTGTGAAATCAAGACTTCGGTGGAAAGGTTAGAGGCTTGCGAATTCAAGTTCTCGAGTTGTAATCGGATTGTCAAACTCCGTTAAGTTTGACGAAGTTAGTAGAATCTCGGGCACGTTTGCTTCGGGGACTGGATGTAAGCATTAGGCCGAACCAGGATACATCGTGTGTTGCTCCTTCTCTTCATCTTTGTGTTCTTGTGGTTGATATACTCTTGCAAATTTTTGTTCTTCCAAAATTTTTGTTTTTTGAAGAACACCTCTATTCACCCCCCCTCTAGACGTGCGTAAGCGTAATACCCCGTATTAAGAGGGGAATGGGAAGAGCTCAAAAGATTTGATAGTACTACTCATACCAACAAGGTGCATCTTTTTTTCAAGAGCTCATCACCTAGAAACTCCAAAGTTAAGCGTGCTTGACCTGGAGCAATTCTAGGATGGGTGACCCCCTGGGAAGTTTCCTTGGGCGCGCACGAGTGAGGATAAAGTGCGCGGGAAAGACTTGTGTTGGTTTGTGGGGCCAGTCTACAATCTTATGAGCAGACACCTACGGCCAAGGTGGGGGCCGGGGTGTTACAAATGGTATCAGAGCAACCTTGCGACCGTGACAGGCCAAAAGAGCTTAGTTCACCTAGCGAGGAAGATCTATGGGTTCAAAAAAAAGGATGCAACGAGGACGTTGCATTCCTAAGTGGGGGTGAATGTAATACCCCATATCAAGATGGGAATGGGAAGAGCTCAAAAAGGATTGATAGTACTACTCATATCAACAAGGTGCATCTTTTTTTCGAGAGCTCATCACCTAGAAACTTCAAAGTTAAGCGTGCTTGACCTGGAGCAATTCTAGGATGGGTGACCCCCTGGAAAGGTTCCTTGGGCGCGCACGAGTGAGGACAAAGTGCGCGGGAAAGACTTGTGTTGGTTTGTGGGGCCAGTCTACAATCTTATGAGCAGACACCTACGGCCGGGGTGTTACAGTAAGTTGTTCAACAATTGGTATCAGAGCGTGGTTGCATTTCCAAAGCTTTACCCCCGGAAATCTAGATCATGGCCGGAAGAACATTCCAAGCCAGTGTATCGGAAGGACAATCTACTACACGTCCTCCATTCTTTGATGGTACAAATTATGCATATTGGAAGGAAAGAATGAGGATATTCATACAATCAAATGATTTCGACTCATGGATGGTAATCAAGCATGGAAACACTACCCCTGCAAATATTGTTGATGGAATTCGTGTTCCCAAGAAGAACGTCATGCAAAATGCCAAAGCCATCAACTATATATCTTTATTGTGCAGTCAACCCTGATGATTATAGAAAGATATCAAGATGCAAATCTGTAACACCCTAATCCGTCCAGGTCTGCAGCCCCTTTTGGACTAAAGTATTAACTTGGAAATCGTAAAAATTTAAAACTTTTCAAACACTTTTATTTATCACAATAATATTTTTCATAACATATACAGTACGGAGTATTCAACAATATTGCGGAAGCGAATTAAAAATTGACATATCATAATTCATTTCAAAACTTGTCACATCCATCCCGACAATCTCGCCCCATCTGCCACCAGGATCACATTGTTCTTTCTGTTTACCTGCGTGTAGCAAATAAAACATACTACACGCTCAGCGGTAAAGCTAAGTAAGCATATCTAATGTGTCGAACATCCATATAAACTGAATCTAAATTCATAATCAAATCATTTGATATCATGCACACAATGTTCACTTTAGACATTCACAGTTTTGATATTATTCAGTTCTTATCAACATATTTTATTCAATCCAGTTATTATTTCGATAGTGCTCTCAAATCGTTCTTAATCTAAGGCCAAATCATAACAACGCTCTTAACTATTCTTAGTCTAAGGCCAGATCATAACAACGCTCTTAGCTATTCTTAGTCTAAGGCCAGATCATAACAACGTTCTTAGCTATTCTTAGTCTAAGGCCAGATCATAATTTCATTCTCAGACGCTTAAACTATAATTAGTTTAAGGCAAACATTTCTCAGACACTTAAACTATAATTAGTTTAAGGCAACAGTTCTCCGACGCTTAAACTTTAATTAGTTTAAGGCAAACAATACTCAGACGCTTAAACTATAATTAGTTTAAGGCAACAATAAGACAATAATTAATCATCATTGAGTCGAAGTATTTCCAAACGAGTGATCCTCTAGTTTGGTCTACGTGTTCCGTTACATTTTTTTTATCAAATCACCAAATATTCAGATTTTCACAATCCCTTCTAATCTGAGATCTATTCTAGAGGTCTTGTAGATAACCTTAATATAAATTATTTAAATGGGTATATCTTAGAGTTCTTCTATATACTCTTAACAATACACATCATTTCATAATTATCAATATATTCATTTTTAATCATGATTTAATCATTCATAATTATTATTTTAATAAGAATATTCATCAAAGTCTGATTATAAACAACATCAATAATAATTTTAACAATATCCAATAACAAATAGCGGTCTAGCATCGAGTGTTAACACCTTAGCTTACCGTCATACATCACATAACATTTTATTTGTCAAAACATCATTTTTATTTTATCACATGAAATTTTATTTGTCAAAACATCATTTTTATTTTTAACAATTATTTTTATATTGATCATAATTGATTGGTATAAAAAATTAGGCTTTTATAGCTTCAAAAATAGCATTTTTGGACTTAAAAATGTTTGTAACGGTCGACCATTGGGTTTGAACGGTCGTCCGTTCCGTTGGAAAGTGCAGGAAGATGAAGGGGTTACTATTCATCATCTTCAACCTCTAACCCATTTTTCTCAAGTTCCATTTTTGGTCACCAAACTTCAATTAAACTATATAGAATTGTTCTCCAAGGTTCGTAGATCATTTTAGAGGCATCAATTCGAAGTTTTAACAACAAATTCAAGGTTTATGATTTTTGGTTCTTCACATATGTCAAACACAAAACTCAACCAAACGACCATTTATGAACGTAGAAACGATCTATACGAACATTCTAGTCACTAGATATATCTACGGGCTTACATTGAAGTGAAACGATGATTCCGGCGGAAAAACGGTGAAACTTCCGGCGAACACCACCGCTTGCTCCGGCGACGGGAAGCTCTCCGGACAGCTTCTCTCAACTCTCTGAACTCTCCTCTAACTAATGGGATAATTTTGGTGTGAAAATGATGAAGAATGTATGGCTCTATATATAGGCCTGGGAGAGGGAGTTACGTTTGAAGTTTGAAGCCCCTGTGATTTCCTACGTTTGATTGCCGTGAGTGGAGGAGGCGGCTGCTATTTAATTCCTTCCAGTTTAGTTTGATTAAATTACTTTAATTGGAGTACACTTTTTGGTCCAACTTTATCCAAATTGAAATCCGTTTACACCATTGCGATGAGATAGTCAAACTCTATTTAATGATATAATTTTTATATTTATTTGAAATACTTTTTCTGACAACATATTTTTGGGTGTTGACTTTGATAGAGTCAAAATTGAATTAATTGATATGTAATTAAAATTAGTCTCATATTCAATCAATATTATTAAATATAAATACTTATTTCAATACATCATTTTACAAAAGTTCACATCTTTGACTTTTTCTCATTTTTATACAAAATATATATTTAAAATGTCATAACTGAACTTCTGTACATCAGATGTATTCATAAAATATACCGTTGGTTTCGTCTCTTCAAGACCTATCCATAAAAGTCAATCTTAACAAAAATTATTGACTCTAAAAATTCCTTCATTTTTGGTCAAACATAGAAATAATGCTTTGTTGAGTCAAAATATTGTTTCTAAAAATACTTTTATAATAGAATAACTTTTAGACTATGTTTTGGGGCGTTACA